AATCTTAATTCTTCATTTGACTATACATTTTTCAAGATGAGAAATTAGAATAAATACCAATTGGTTTTCAATGCTGTCTGTTGAGAAATAGGAAAAAGGAAAGCTATTTTTACCACTATCATTCTTGTTTTCCTGGAAATTCTAGCTGATGTTAATTAGAAAAGAAAACTAAATAAATTCTTATATTATGACTTGCTTACCTGGAAATTCCAAGAAAATAAACTGAAAGCTCTTAGAACTAATAAGAATTTTAACAAAGATGTGCAAGGACTACATGGAGACAATTGTAAAATTTTACTAAGAGAAAAGAATGAACAACAGAATAGATGAAAATAGATATTTTCTCATAGGGGAAAAGAAAATATTATAAATATATCAATTCTTCCCAAAATAATTTATAAATATAATGTAATTCTCGTCAAAATCTTAATGGAACTTTATTGTGAACTTGAAAAAATTATGCTAAAGTTCAGCTGGAAAATTAAACATGGATGATTACCCATGGTCATTTTTGAAGGAACAGTTATGAAGAGAGGATGTGTTCCAGCTAATATAGCCCTAAAATACTTTAAGTTTATAAGAACTAAGATAGTAAAACACTGGCCCAAGACTTGGAAGACAGAAAAGTGGAATAGTAGAAAATACACCCCAAAGACCCAAGGGTATTTAAGAATTTAATATATGACAAACGATGGTCTTCCTATCAGTAAAGAATGAGTAATTATTTAATATATGGTGCTGAGGCAAGTAGTTAACCATTTGGGAGGAAAAAAATATAGATTGTTGGTCTACCTTATATAACAACCCCAAGTAATTTCTGTATAGGGAAATATTTAAATGTAAACTTCATATATTTCTGTCATTTTAGTGGGGGAAGGGGCTTGAACAATATTCTAAGAAAATACTCATGGATGTCTACAAAGACTTGAATTAGCTCTGAGAATTTTTTTTTTTTACTTCTAATGATAGTGAAAGCTTGAAAAATTGTAAACATTTAACAATGAAGTTTAGATTTAGGTCAGGTTAGATTTGGCTTAGCAGAATATCATGCAACCAGGGAGAGAGAGAAAGAGAAATGAAAGGAGGAGGGGAGGAAGGAAGGGAAACCAAGATTAAGACTCAGGTTTTCATAATTAATAATATATATGTGCATACCCACATATATGTGCATACACAAAAATGATAGAGATATAACAAAATCTTAACAGGGATCAAGGCATTGAAGTTTTTTTTTCTGTTTTTGTTTCTCTATTTTTCATAAATAATATATATAGTTAATTTTCTAAGAAAACGTACAAACTCATTCTAAACAAATACAGTAGGATATAGATGCTTTTAATCCTATTTGCTACTCATCATTAACAAAACCATGTTTGTGTGATAGGCAAATTTTTGTGAGGTAAGAGTAAAATATAATAAAATAAAATAAGATGAAAATTTATTCCTATGATAAAGATTAAAAGTGTTTTAGTTTCTTAAATTGGAAAAAGGAAGGCTCAAAGAGAGATTGAATATCTATTTTCACATAGCTGAATTTTATTACATTAAATTGTCTTCATCAAAAGATCAATTCTGCATTTCCATAGAAGACTGGCAAGAGGGAGAGTTTCAATAGGAGAAAAAGAAAGTATAGCTAGATATCGAGGAGAATGTGGAAGTCCATCACTAAAAATAACTAAAAATAATTTGGTCAGTTGTAGGTACCAGTTATAACACACACTTCAAAATAATTACTATTTAGCCTTACACCTCAGTTTGAAAACAAGTAACTAAATATGCAGCATAATAGCTAAATAAGTATGCAGAACCATATTTCATAGGTTACATAAATTCTTGTATTTCTTCATCTCCTATTGCTAGGAGGGATATCCTTATACAGCCATTTTTTTCCAGAAATGAAATCCATTTGGTCTTTCATTCCTTATTCTAGCATCATTATATGCATAGTGTAGAAATAAGTAACATTGAATATAGGTTGTGTTCATGATTCTAAAGGGACACATGAGTCTTAAGCCAGGAGATATTTTTCCTTTATAATGGAAAAGATAGACCACAGATAGCAACCGTTTTCGAAGGGTGCGTGGTAGTGAGGAAAGAAATCTGTTTCACCGGGATTTTCATTACTAAAATTTAGGGCACAGTTTAAAAAATGCATTTGCATTGGGGGCACTTCACAATTCGGATGTTTTACAGCAGCTACATAAATGCAAATTCAAGTAGAGGGCTGGATGTATCTTTATTAGCACTCCTTCAAAGGTAGAAAGGGATTTTGGTAGTGAAAGCATCAGTACAGCAGCACAAAGCTTTTAGATTTCCACAAGCTGAAATTGACGGAAATGTGTTGACATGCTTGGCTTCTTTCCTTTTTATTTCTTGTGAGAAAAAGTCTCTCTATTGCTCTTCCTCCCCCCGTTCTCCCCCTGCTTTATTTTTCTGCCCAAAGCTTTTATTCAGTTAATATTTTCTTTACCTAAAGTTTATAACCTCAGAACTGTAAATGAAACATAGGGAGCTCATTGTGTTAAGATATTTGTATGAGCTTTAACAAGGCATTTAAATAAAAATGTTTGAACAACAGTCTAAGAATGATCAGTAAAATAACTTTCAGTGGCTCTGTAGTCATTGCTGTGGACAGAAATTGGCCTGGACTCCAATAATCTACTGCCCTTCCTTGTTTTATGCTCATTATTAAAATGTTTTAGCAACAATTCAGCAAAGTATCATAGTTAAAAGTTCAGAAGTTCACATTGGGCACTTTCAGGTTTGAGTACTGCTCTCTATCTTATAAGTTTGTGACTTGACGCAAGATCTTATTCTACTTCCAAGTCTCAATTTTCTCTTTTGTAAAAGGAGTTAATAATAGTATAGTATAGTATAGTATAGTGAAGAATATTTACTAATGGTTAGAAAAGGTAATGCATATGAAACTTTTAGAACATGACTGGGACATAGTAAAGTGTTGGGTAAATAATGGATATTATTTCTAAAGCAATAATGATAGGAATATGTAAAAATATTTTCTTGACTGAGGAGAATGTTTGTGATAATGTGTCACAGAGAACTTGGGAAGTCAAATGTGGGGAATAGATACACTTAGTAAGGAAACATATCGTGTTTTATACTTTGGTTATCATTACTCCCATGTATTAAGCAACCACTCGGTCACAGGTATCATGCTAAGTGATGTGCATTTGTTATTCTCACTCCTCAAAACAACCTTTTACTAATGATGCAACCGACTCATTGAAGTGAAATAACTTCATCAGAGTAAACACTGGTGAACAGAAACATCAGGCTTTGATTCCAGATCTTGTCAATACCAAATCCCATTTTATTTCCACTACACCTCACTACCCCTATAATGGAGGAGTTGCTCAGGTAAAGACCGATCAGGAGACTGAGGCTTTCTCACACTGGCTTTGGGCTTTGAGTCAGGGTCAGAGAGCCTGCCCGCAGTGTTCACAGAGCAGAACTGCATCAGGGATGGACTGCATGGAAGATGGCAGGTCATCTACTGTCAGGGCCACACGACTTGACTGTAATGCTGACCTAGAAAGGTTGGTAGAGAAATGTGCTTTACAGTACCCAGCTTTAAACAATGTTAAGTGGGTGTACTTTAGGTAAACTGCACTGGAAGAGGAGAAATGGGTTAATGTTGAGTAGAATTTTCAGACTTCAAAGAGTCAACTTGAGTGTAGCGTTGCATTTTGGGGGCAAAGAGTTGAATGTTGGTCTTGGTCTGAGCAAAGATCAAAACTGGCTTTTAGATACTTGAGAAATCCTTATAATAAAGCAGGAATAAGTCCTGGAAGAGTGTGGAAGCAGAATTTTGTAGGAGTTGATCATTCTTATAGGTAGATTATTTGTACCCATCATAGTTTACTGCATGCTAGTGTTAGGAGAAAGAACTAGAAGGCAGTGCATTGTAAAAGTAACTAGCATCGAGGTCCTGAAGTTAGGTCCTGAGCCAGGATCCTCACCTATGGCTACTTCAGGGCTTCCCCTAGGGTATTTGGGATCCCAGGCAAACATTTTTTGCAGGTCGTCTTTCTGTAGGCATAATTTGATTTAGCTAAAATATGTGTGTCGGGACTACTGAGGTAGCCTAAACTCACACAATCATAAGAAATAAATACTACACCAGCCAAGGGGAGCAATCTCCTTGTTAGGCTTTCCTCCTGGAACGCAGGGTCCTGCTATGGTGCCCCAGGATGGTCCCCTTAGGTGCAAGTTCTAGAGCTCCTTGGGACATCTGGTTAATCCCATGTGAGGTAGAGGATCAGGGAGCTCTCTAAAGGGAAAAAATGGGAATCAGAGGCCCAGGTGAGCTCCGCCCAGACAGGGCTGACAGCCCTCGCCCGGCACCCAAAGGGGAACTTAGAAAAGTTTGAGGGCAGCCCTCCAAAGTGTAAGGACTTTGGGGTGAGGTGAAGGCCTTGGGGCATGAACCCCCTTGCCTGGGTCTAAAGGTGTTACTGAGCTACCTCATTACATTCTTGTGAGGAATAAATGAAATAATGCATGCAGCTTTCTTAGATGTTTCCTCACAGGTGATCATCACTGAATAAATGTTAGATGGCTCTAACATGAATAAATGTTCAATATTCACGAGCTGTGTCAACTAAACCAATCTCTATACCCTCCAGTTAGGCTGTTGTGTTTTTTGTTTCTATTAGGTTATAAGAAGTAAAGCATGATTCAAAATGTCAGCCAGAATGGTTATGAATTCTTTTCTCCTAATCACTGTGACCCACGTGATTTCCATGCCATCCTCATTCCCTCTTCCCAAGAGGAGAAAATAAAATGCCAAAGCACAAAATTGGGTGCTTTTGTGCTGTCAAGAAGTGGTTAGTTGCATTTAGGTCTTCTACAGTTACATGGTGGTGTTTGGCAAAACATGCATCCTCTTTGGGGCTCAAGCCCTGTATTTTGAGTAAATTGTCAAACGAATCTCTCACATCCTGATGGTGTGCTCTCATGTGGTGCTTTCTTGTCTTTTCAGATCCCCCAGATTAGTTATGCATCAACGGCACCTGAGTTAAGTGACGACCGGCGCTATGACTTCTTCTCTCGCGTGGTCCCACCCGATTCCTTCCAAGCCCAGGCCATGGTAGACATTGTAAAGGCCCTAGGCTGGAATTACGTGTCTACTCTCGCATCTGAAGGAAGTTATGGAGAGAAAGGTGTGGAATCCTTCACGCAGATTTCCAAAGAGGCAGGTAGGAAGAGATTACACTGATCAAGAAGATCCTCTTCAAACGTCTGTGGCTTGTAGGGTTCTTTTCAGTCTATTAAACAAATGCTATGGATAATCACCATATCCCTACTCTCACGTTCCCCACTGCCTGTGAAGTAAATCTGTAAAGTCTTCATTTATAACACTTTGTTATTTTTGAAGAGAATATTTTCAAAAGTGTGAAACGGAAGTCCCTTAAAGGATTAGTGGAAGAAATGGAGAGAAAAAAATATGTACTCAAATTTATATCTTACTTCTGTTTCATGAATAACAGTGTAGATTACAGCCTGTATGTGAAAATCCGAGAAAACGTGGCTAAATGTGCATGCAGACTCTCCTTCTCTGTCTCTGCTCCTCTCCAAGATGGAGAGAATTGTTTAGAATTATGAGAACCCAATCACAGTGGCACTTTGCTTTGAAGAGGAATGGCAGTAATGATTCTGAATGACTTGGCCAAAACAAAATTAAATAAATTATCCAGGTAGTAGAATGTATATAGACAAATAGTCTTTAAAATTTTAGATATTTTGAGAAAAACAGTTCTATTAAGTAGCACTTGGAGAAGATTCTTTAATGTTGTTTATTTAGCTCAAAATGGAAGTAATGGGTTCAAGTATTCAGCCAGCTGGCTTCCATTGGGCAGATTTTGAAAAATGAGAGAAAATCTTCACACTAAGAAATCCTGGCAATAATAGTCAGGCTTCTCCATGTGGAAATGCTAGATATAGTAAACATATATTTAAAAAATACATGCTTGGATATTCCTGTAAAGTTCTTATGCTGAAGTGAGGTCCTCCGTTTTGGTTGTAAGAATTTCATTTAATACAAATTGTAATTGACCAGAATAGTTTACTAATAGTAAAGGCAAACACAGAAGCAAAGTAATAGAAACAGAGGTCATTTTCATGAGGAAAGATTCATAAATCCTGAAGACATGGCTTTGAGTGTTTGACTGTCAGACTATGTCTGAGATGAAGTCAGACATATAATGCTTCAGTATATAGATAGTATATCTGCACATGGCTGCTGAAAGAAGGGAGACAGGGCTTGCTTGTAAATACCACAATTTTAACTCAGTGCCTCATCATTAGCTCTAATTTCAAAAATTCACTGGAGAGCTGGGTCATTCTTATATTCTTTCTTCTGACTGAAATATTCTTACTCTTAACACCTTTGACTAGATAGCTCCTAATCATTGACAGATCTCATCCTAGACAGCATTTCTACGTTCAAACAAATATAAACACAAAACTTCCTTGGTTCTATTTGTTTCTAGTGTCTTCTCCCACAGCACCTGTCACATTTTAGTATGATTTGTTGTTGTTGTTTTCTATCTTGTCCCCTAGACTCTAAGAGCAGATCATGTCTATCTCATTCACTACTGTGAATGGGGCTGGACTACTACTGTAGTCCCAGCTGCTGTGTTTCTAAGGGAAACAATTCTAGTATAATTCAGTTAGAAACTTTCTGTTTAGGAAAGAAATCTTGACTCTGGCCTTGTGTCATGCATGCTGTGATTTATAGGAGTCGTTAACAATTGACTTCATGAATCTCCAAAGAAATACCTAGTCATTTTTGATAACTATGTTTTTATTTATTTCTTTGTTTCTTTGACTCCAGCTTTGACCAAAATAATACTAGAGGCCAACTTAGAGAAGTATCTAAAATATGAGCATAAAAAACAATAAATAAGACAAGATGAAGAGAAAATATGGGTAAAATAGTAAGATAAATCTCAGAGATAAACTTCAGATACCATCTTGCTCTACATAATTGCTGCAAGCATGTCTCAAATTTAATGCTGAACTTTGTACTGGACAAAGCAAAGAGCACTACCCATTTTGATACAAAATTTACAGTGCTCATAAGGTCAAAATCAAGTTGATTGTTTAGTAAAGGGCAGGATCAAGACAAATGTTTCCCTGGATTCTTTCTAAAAGACTATATTCTACAGACAGGTCAGTGGTGAATTTTACGTGGTTGTTTATTCCTGTGTCCCTTGAAGGAAACTTAAAGTATAATATCAGAGTCTGCTATAAAATGACTCTGCAAAAAGGAAATACCCTTGTAATATGGTCTGAACTCCCTGGCTCATAATTTTTTGTGTGTGTGAGGAAGATCAGCCCTGAGCTAACATCCCATGCCAGTCCTCCTCTTGTTTGCTGAGGAAGACTGGCCCTGAGCTAACATCCATGCCCATCTTCCTTTACTTTATATGGGACACTGCGCACAGCATGGCTTGACAGCAGTGCATCGGTGCGTGCCCAGGATCCGAACCTGCAAACCCTCGGGCTGCCAAAGCGGAGCGCACGCACTTAACCGCTGCGCCACCAGGCCGACCCCCCACCAAACCCCTGGCTCATAATTTTAGCTAATTATACATTGAAATAACTCAGCTCAAAAGTAAAGATTGTATCATTGGCAGCCATTTTGGATGAAATCCTTCAATCTGAGAGCCTTTGAATTTGGGGATGAGAGTAATTAAAAAGCCAGCTGCAGAAATGCAAGAAAACGTTGAGGGTTCAAGTAAGTTCTTCTTCTTCTATAAGTATTATGATTTTTGACATGGATTTATAGTAAATTTTGTTGGAACCATAGCATATGTGCAATTAATTTAAATGAATTCACTTATGTGCTTAGCAACCACCTATATCCCCACCCCTTTAAAAAAAGAGAAAAGAAAGAGAAGGAGGGAAAATTACAATATAAACAGTATGTGGTATGTCTACTCACTCAGTGTGTATATTACTTAGAGAAAACCTGAGATGAGAAAGACGATTCTATTGTTTCTTCAATCAGTTTCACTTTCGTGAGCCTCTCATAATGTGAGCATCCTGCTACCCCAAAGGTAATTCCTGTACATAGGGATACATATTCACATGCCACAACCTCTAAAAAGAATTCAAAATTTCTGTGATGTATATATGCTTAGGGAATTTTGGCGAATTTTTAAGATAATTTTTAATGTTCACGTTTTTCCCTTGCCTGATGACTCTAGAACCCGACCCTCAAGAGCCAAGTCCATGTGTATGTGTAGGAGAGGTGGTGTGGCACAGAGAAAAGTAAGCACTATGGTGTCAGATAGATGTGGATTTGAATAACAGTCTCCATTACTTCCGTGCTGTAAAACTTTTAATACATGATTTAACTTTTCAAGCCTCAGATTCCTCATGTAGAGAATGAGATTAATGACACCTGTTTCATCAGGTTGGTAAAATAAATAAGATCACGTATAGGCAAGCACTTAAAACCCAACAATACCTGATTATTAGTGCATCACACCAGTTCCCTATAAATCAGTAGAGCTATTGTTTGATTTTGAAAAGTTTGAAAATAACCCAAGTGATAGATGACATTTGCTTTTAGTTATAACTAACAAGGTTATTTATATGTCTATAATTATATAATATATATAATACAATCATGTGCCACATAACAATGTTTTGGTCAATGATGAACTGCATAGATGATGGTGGGCCCATAACATTATGATGGAGCTGAAAAATTCCTAGCACCTAGTGATGATAGCCGTCATAACGTTGTAGTGCAATGCATTACTCACATGTTTGTGGTAATGCTGGTGTAAAGAAACCTACTACGCTGCCAGACATATAAAAGTATAGAACATACAATTATGCACAGTACATAATACTTGATAATGATAAACTATGTATTTACTATACTATAAGGCTAGACCATCTAGGTTTGTGTAACTACACTCTATGATGTTCAGATAACGACGAAATCTCCTAACAGCACATTTATCAGAACGTATCGCCATTGTTAAGTGACACAAGGCAGTGTATATAATTATGTATTATATTCAGGTATATATATATAACAGCTAAGTTGCTATTCTTACTAATATATTTTCATCACATAAGAAGAAAAGGAAGTGAGTTATTCAGGTCGTCCTATGTATGAGGTGTGTGTGTGTGTGTGTGTGCATGTGTGTGTGTGTGTGTGTGAGAGAGAAATGCTGAGAGAGAGAGGTTGAGAGAGAGACAGAGAGAGAGCATAAGCTCAATGATGTTGTTTCTATGTACTCCTGGTAGGCTTGAAGGAGTTACTTCCATTCTTTCTGAGCAGTTTGACTTTGAAGGTTATGATTCTTCTCCTTTATAAATGTCTATAAGAGTTTCACCATTTTAGAATACTTTATTCCAAAATTTACTTTAGACTTAAATCCTGAAGCAGAGGCTACTTGTAAAACCAGAGCCTGAAGTATCGCTACCATGCACATAGTCACAGAATGTGGGTGAGCTCTCCTTTGTTATTCTCTGATAGAACAAATCAAGACGGTGAAGTCAGAGAAAAGGAGCCATCCTTTACCAGGGGGCCATATCATTTGTTTGGAACATGGAAGCCTAAACACAGTTTCTCTAAGCTCTCAAAGAAAACCTCAATAATTCTGCTCTCATATACAGTCACGGGAGACTTAAATATGCATGGATGCTGCTCCTTGTTGAACTTTCAGAGACGACTGTAACATGGTTTTCTCAGGTGATTAGATTTTTGTAAAACAGTTATATTTGCATAAATTGCCCTATTTATTTGAATGGATGCACATGCAATATCGACAAAAGCAATTTGTTGCTTAATATCACAGAGAACGAGAGAATATTCATTCCCAATGTGCTTTAAAATTCGGGTCGATGTAATAACCTAAATAGCCTAAATTAGACATACAGACTCCTCTTTCCAAGTGAGGGTAAAAGTAAATGCTTATGATAGCATACGGTACTGGTATATTCCAGATCTTTTGAACCAAATTTGATTCAAAGATTATAAGAGTAAGAACATCATATATGGCTCTTATAGTTTGCTGGACAATTTTCAGGAGAATCTCATGAATTCCACAATGTGACATGGATAGTAATGATTTGTTACTGCCATGGTGTCATGATATGTGTCAACTTTTCAAAATCTAAAAGAACATTTCAATTATCCTTTTGATATGTCATGTGAATCACTTAATACAGT